GGGGGGGGGGGGGGGGTCATGTCACCTCAACAGATCATCATCTTCCTGCAAGTTCTCTGATGTGTAGAACATTAGATGGGGAGCTCCGCAGGGGCCGATGGCACTGGTGACATATTCTCCGGAATACCTCCACCAATTCTTGTTTAATAGATATACGCCAGTTTATGAGCAATCTTAAGTGCTCTGCAGCTTTCACCCACAGTCTCCAGCTGATTGCCATGATGACCAGATCTTCATTCTACACAATGTCATTGGCTGAATTGACATACTCAGTTGGAATAAGGGCCAGAGTGGAGTATAGAAGTTGATGGAGGAAGTTAAGGCAGAGCGGGCTACACTTTCCACTTCTCCTCCCATCATTGGCTTTTGTCAGTGGTGGAAAGGTTGCTATGGATTGAAGGCTTTTGTCAGTGGTGAAAAGGTTGCTATGGATTGAAGGCTTTTGTTATCGGTGGAAAGGTTGCTATGGAATGAAGGCTTTTGTTATCGGTGGAAAGGTTGCTATGGAATGAAGGCTTTTGTTATCGGTGGAAGGGTTGCTATGGGTTGAAGGTTTTGTCATTGGTGGAAGGGTTGCTATGGGTTGAAGGGTTTGTCATCGGTGGAAGGGCTGCTATGGTTTGAAGGGTTTTGTCATCGGTAGAACGGTTACTATGGGTTGAAGGGTTTAGTCATCGGTAGAACGGTTACTATGGGTTGAAGGGTTTAGTCCTCGGTGGAAGGGTTGCTGTGGATTGAAGGGTTTTGTCATTGGTGAAAGGGTTGCTATGGTTTGAAGGGTTTAGTCATGCATGGTAGGGTTGCTATGGGTTAAAGGGTTTAGTCGTCAGGGGAATGGTTGCTATGAGTTGAAGGGTTTAATCATCAGTGGCATGGTTGCTATTGGTGGAATGGTTGCTTTGGGTTGAAGGGTTTTGTCATCAGTGGAATTGTTGCTATGGGTTGAAGGGTTACTATAGGTTGAGGGGTTTTGTCATCAGTGGAAGGGCTGCTATGGTTTGAAGGGTTTTGTCATCGGTAGAAGGGTTGCTATGGGTTGAAGGGTTTAGTCATCAGTGGAAAGGTTGCTATGGGTGGAATGGTTGCTGTGGGTTGAAGGGTTTTGGCATCAGTGGAAGGGCTGCTATGGGTTGAAGGGTTTTGTCATCAATAGAAGGGTTACTATGGGTTGAAGGGCTTTTGTCATCAGTTACTAACCCCTCACCCTGTGCAGAGGGCACTTCTCTGCTACATGCCCAGTACGTCACCCAACAGCTGTTCGTAAAAGTTCCACCCTTTGTTTTCAGGCCTCTCAGATATCTAAGGGTTAGAGGACACCTAACATTGTCATTGTAACGTTGTCACCAGGTAAGTCACCATATTGTCCCTGTCATGCGAATCTCAGACTTTGAAAGGGGATTCTGAATGTTCTCAGGCATGGTCATAAGGAATCAGGTTACTCTGTACGTATATGTTCTTCCTATCTGTGACACCTGCTATACTGTGCACTTCCTCCTTCTATTTCGCTAGATAAATGCTAAAACCAACACATCTAAGCTCATTTCCTCTACCCTTACATATGTTCATATAATTGTTTCCTTATTGCAGGTTTAGAAGTAGAAAAGATTTATGAGGAACTCATCTAGGAGACCACCCAAGGATGGAAAAAGCGTGCAGTCACATGACTGAGAGGATATTAGACCTAACCTTGGAGATCATCTACCTGCTGAATGGAGAGGTGAGGAGGATTCTGGGAGGGTCACAATACATCACTCTTGCCTCTATTCGTAAAAGACAGACATGGCTGAAGGATTAATATTTGACCGTATTGACAAAATTTGTGGACACCTGACCATCACACCTATCTGATCTTGTTGGACATACTATTCCAAAGCCACGGGCATTAACATGAATTGGGCTACCTTGTGGCTACAATACCCTCAGCTTTTTTTGGAAGTCTTTCCATGAGATTTTTGAATGTGTCTCCGAGAATTTTGCCCATTTAAGCACAAGAGCATTTGAAAGGTCGGGTACGAAAAGACTTGGACTGCAGTTGGCATACCAATGCATACCAGAGTCATTGAGGCAATGACCACTTGAGGTTCTCCCCACCAAACATGTGAAAGCATGTCTTTATGGAGCTGGCTTTGTACACGGGTCACATCAAAAAAGGGCCTTCACCAAACTCTTACCACAAGGTTGGAAGTGCCCAGTTGTCTACAATGCCTTTGTATGCTGTACTATTAAGAGTACCCTTCAGTGGAACCACCTAAATTTAGTCATTTTAAAGGCCGTGACACACTGCACGCGAAGCAGCGCGGAGCGGTGGCGCGCTGCCTTTGCGAGCAGTGTGTCATGTCACTTTCTTCTCGGCACCTCAGCTTGCGAGAGCTCGCAGAGCTGAGCGTGCCGAGATGAACAATTTCAACTTCAGCCAATCGGCTCGCGCGTATAAACCGGCGCGACGGGATGCGACGTCTGGCCGGTTGTTACAGACGAGCCGATTGGCTGAAGGTGCAGTCAATCATCTGACTGCACTCAGCTCACACACTGCACGCGAAGCTCCGTGCCGGATAGCTTTGCTTCGCTCTGCACGGCTTCGCGTGCAGTGTGTCACGGCCTTTAGTGGTGTCTGCATACCTTTGACCATATAGTAAAGATATTGAAATGCACTGACCATGTTTAGTCTGATTTGTATGGTATCATAACTTTGTGTTTTTTTCTCTAAATATAGAATTATATCGCTTTCAAGTTATCTGATGGCTTGGTGGCTTCCAACGTGATGAAGAAGCAAAGCCCTACTGTAGATCGTCTATCTCATGCCATGAGAAAAAACTACAAAAAGGTTCAAGAAGTCACCACCAAGATCATTAAGCTGCTGATGGGAGAGGTGAGAGGTGCCGGGAATTCTGGGACATGATCCAGGAACAGACAAGGGATGTGTCTGGGTGGTGACTGTATCATTGTGTGTGTCAGGTTCCTAAAAGGTGTCAGGATGCCACTAGCTGTTTCTCCATGGAGGAGTGGGAGTATCTAGAAGGACACAAGGATCTCTACAAGGATGTCATGATAGAGAACCGACCGCCCCTCACATCACCGGGTAAGAGGAGACTTTCATTTCTTGAGTATTGAGGATCCACCTAGATACACACATCTTCTGATATAAAGACATAGAAACAATAGACAGACACAGTATAGAAAATGTAGCAGGTTGCTCATAATTGAAATGGGATCTGCTCCGTTTTCCTCTTGTAGACGTGAAAGCCTTCACCACTCTTTTAATCACCCCCCCATGTATTTAGTCAGTGTGTGTGTGTGTATCCTACAGATGGATCCAGTAACAGAAATACCCCAGAGAGATGCTCCAGCCCCCTATATTCTTGGGACTCCACACAGGAACATCAGGAGATCCCTCAGGATGATCAGGTAACATAAAAAAACAAGATTATTAAAGCCCTCTAAGGCTGATGCCATACGGATGACCCTACTGCTGGTGACATATTGCCAGTGGCAAAGTCACGCTCCCTTGCTGGCCTGGAACACTGGCATCTCTTCTTTGCTATCGAGGTATGTCATGGAAGCGACATCTCGTTGGCCCAGGCTGCAAGGAAGCAATCCTATAGTAAGCAAGCTCTTAGTGATCCTGATGCTGGTGAGTTGTCACCAACGTCAGGATCACCTATGTGACATCCGCCTAAAATGACTTTTAAGAAATACCTCTCAGGACTTGAATCCTAGATAAATGGTTGAATTTGTCCTCTAATAGAGGAGTTCTTAGAAGCAACACAGCTTTTAGGTTTAGGAAGTAATAGGACAGCTGTTAAAGGAATTATTATTTTTCAGGAGGTGCTAGATGTAGACCGGACTGATTGTAGAGCAGAAGCTAAAGATGAAGCAGAAGATCCGACTGTGAGGGGTGATGAGCCGTGTAAGGAGGAGGAAACCCCTCCAGAGATCAGCACAGGTGAGTAATAAAGACCTACTCTCTGTGGTCTCTCATACATCTCAGTACAGGGGGCTTCACTCTCATCTTTATTCACAGACACCAGAGACATTGAAAGGAACATCAAAGTGGAGGAGGAGGAAGAGGAGGAGGTTGAAGTAAGACAAATCAAGATTGAAGATGAGGAAATTCCTTTGGAGATTGGCATGGGTAAGTTATAAATTCAGAAAAAGCTCTCAGGTTCTCCTTGTTGAGCCACGATGGAAAAAGGAACTCAACCAAAATGTCTAATCCATTTTTCTAGACACGTTAAATCTACCTTTCTTACGGTATCACTTCCATCCCTTGAAGAGTGTTACTTCATGCACTGAGCATACAGGGTTTTATTCAGTTTAATAACAGAGATATGAGTGACATCATGTGACCCTCCCAGAATCCTCCTCACCTCTCCAGTGAGGTCTGTGTTCTCTCTGTATCAGTAGCAGTGGTCACCAGGAGAACTCATTCCAACCAATACTGAAAACTAAAGTTTTGGCTTTAGATACCCTGAAATGTAAATTAAACTTCTGCACATTGTTTCTGAATAGTACAAACTAGGTTTGCACCGATACCGAGTATTTGAGGGAGTACTCGCCCAAATGCTCTGATACTTCCCTCCATACTGGAACCTCCGGTCAGAGAAAGATCTCCCACTGACCAGCAGTGCCTAGGGAGCAGGGGAGCTGGCTTCCTTTCCAATCAGAAAACCAGGCGGCACATTATAACTCGCCTCCCGGCTTCCTGATTGGCTAGGAAGCCGGCTCCACTTGTTGTTAGGCATCCTGTCTAACAAACAAATCAGGAAGCCGGGCGGCACATATTGACTTGCCTCATGGCTTCCTGACCAATCAGGAATCCGGACGGCACCTCATGACCCACCGCCCGGCTTCCTGATTGGTCAGGAAGCCAGGCAGCCTCGGCAAGTGAAGCCAGCGTTCTTTCGATAGAACACCGGCTTCCCAGGCAAGCAGGAAGCCGGGAGGCAGGTCATGATCCGCCGCCCGACTTCCCGATAATCGGCGCACACTGTACCGGTATAGGTACTCGGTATCAGTGAGCACCAAAAAAAAAATATTGGTACTCTATACTGGAAAAACTGGTATTGGTGCATCCCTAGTATAAACCCTCAATTTATGGACAGTGACCTTAAAACATTTCCTATTCCTCGTCCTTTTTTTATTTTCTGCAGATGGACATTCCAATGGGAATAACCCAGAGGAATGTGGACCTGTCTCTCCAGGAATGGAAAATGATATCAGACATCCTCCAGGAGAACACCCCATGAGCCAAAATCTCCATCCGGTCCTTCCCAGTGCGGACCTATCAGACCCCTCTATACTCGGGGCCAGTCTTCCTGGTCACTCATATCCCATCACCCCGCATACGGATCACAGAGGCGGTGAAATGTTCCCATGTTACGTCTGCGGGAGATTTTTTACCCAGAGGGCAATACTCATCTCTCACCAGAGGAATCACACCCTGGAGGGACCCTTTCTTTGTTCAGTATGTGGAAAATGTTTTTCCAGGAAAGCATATTTCATCGACCATGAAAGGACTCACACCGGAGAAAGGCCCTATTCATGTTCTGTATGCGGAAAATGTTTCAATCAGAAGTCGGCCCTCGCCACCCATCAGCGGATTCACACGGCTGAGAAGCCGTATCCCTGTCCCGAATGCGGGAGATGTTTTACCCAGAAAGCCCATCTCATAATACACCAGAGGACGCACACAGGTGAGAAGCCATATTCCTGTTCGGAATGCGGGAAATGTTTCAATCAGAGGTCATCTCTTGCCACCCATCAGCGAATTCACACGGGAGAGAAGCGATATCCGTGTTCGGAGTGCGGCAAATGTTTTTCCCAGCTGGGAACTCTTATTACGCATCAGAGAATCCATACTGGTGAGAAGCCGTATTCGTGTTCCGACTGCGGAAAGTGTTTTACCCGGAGAACCTACCTTACCGACCATCAGAAGACTCATACCGGTGAGAAGCCGTTTTCATGCTCCGAATGTGGAAGGTGTTTTAGTCGGAAGGCCAAACTTGTCGAACATCAAAGGACTCACACGGGGGCAAAATCATAATTTTCGGATTGTGGAAAACGATTGACTGAAAGTATTTAACTCGTTTCTGTTTGTCAGGGAAGTTTTTATCAGTAAACTTACTCTGGTTAGACAATATTAGGTTCACTGTAGCATTAAACTGCTTTCAAAGAAATTGTCTTATAAGTCATTCACTCTATGGCCAAAGGTTTGTTGACACGGCACATCACACCTACTGTACATGAGCTTGTTGTACATCCCATTCCAAAACCATGGGCATTAGTATAGTGTTGCCCCTTTCCCCTCTTTGCAGCTATAACAGCCTCCACTCTTCTAGGAAGGGTTGCAAAGAGATATCAGGAGCTGTGCCCATCTAGCCAACAGAGCATTTGCGAGGTCAGGTACTGTTGTTGGATGAGAAGACCTGGCTCACAGGGTGCAATTTTCCCAAAGATGTTAAGAAAGGTTGAGTTCAGGGCTCTGTGAAGGCCACTTGAGTTCCCCCACACCAAACTTTTGGTGCCCAGATTTTGGAGGGTGTCTGTGGGAAGCTGTGCCCATTCAGCCAAAAGAGCATTTGTGAGGTCATCTACTGACGTTGGATTAGAAGACTCTCCATTGTCTTTCCATTTCACCCCAAAGGTGTTCAGTATGGTGGAGGTCAGGGCTGTGTGTAGGACACTTGAGTTCCTCTACACCAGCCTGGTCACACCATGTCTTTATGGAGCTGGCTTTATACACAGGGGCACAGCCATGGTGGAACAGAAAAGGGCCTTCACCCAACTGTTACCACAAGGTTTGAAGAGCACAATTGTCTACAATATCTTTGTATGTGGTAGGGTTAACAATACCCTTCACTGGAGACACCTGAACTAAAACATTTGGATGGGGTGTCAACAAACTCTGTGAGGTCAGGTGCTGATGTTGCATGAGAAGACCATGTTCCATTTCATCCCAATGGTGTTCAGTAGGGTTAGGGTGAGGGCTCCTGGAGTCTACAAAGCTCATACTTGGTCAAACATTTGTGGACACCTGACCATTACACATTATGTTGGATATCCAATTCCAAAAGCATGGACATAAATATGTAGTTCCCACATCTTATTTTCTATCTATAACAGCCTTTACCCTTTCCACAAGATTTTCAAGTGTGTCTTTTGGAAGCCGGGATCGGGTGCTGATGATGGACACAAAGCCAGCTCCATGTTTTAATGGAGCTGGCTTTGTGCACAGAGGCACAGTCATGGTGAAACAGAAAAGGATCTTCTTCAAACTATTGCCACAAGGTTGGAAAGGCACAATAGTCTAACATGTCTTTGTAAGCTGTTGCATCAACAGTGCTCTTCACTACAAACAACTAAAGCCAATCATTTGGATTGGGTGATGTGAAGTCAGGTATTGTTGGATGAGAAGACCTGGCCCAATGACATTCCAGTTTATTGCACAGATGGGCAGTAGGGTTGAGGTCAGGGCAGCGGTAGAACGATCACCATAGCGACCCAGGGGGGCCTGGCCAGGATGAGGAACAAAGGGGTCCACCTGATGCTGTCTGGGACGCTATGGCATCTCAGACTGCTGGCTGTCACTGGCAACTGTCAGTGATCTGTACAGCGGCATGTTCCTCCTTACAGCCGCTGCTGAGTCAGTGACAGCCAGCAGCTGCGGAGGAGAAGGCTGGGCCTAGCATCGGCAGCAGAGGAGGAGGGGCCTGGCTGCGGGGGAGGGGGGCCTGCCAGCGACCGAGGAGGAAGCGGACAGCGGATCGGGGCTGACAGGTAAGAGGTGTGCAAGGGTGTGACCAGCCCACCTGAGACCCTGCAGAGCCCACCATAGAGAGCCTACAGTGGTCTCTGCAGGGTCACTCTCAGGTGGGCTGTTTGGGATATCAGGTGGGCTCTGCAAGGGGTCTAACTAGAAATCACAGGGCCACATACAAAATTTTGCTATGGGGCCCTGTGATTTCTAGTTACGCCCCTGGGTCAGTGTTACTGGAGCCCACAGAGACTGTACTGAAACTATGTGGCAAAATGTTTGTGGCACCTGACCTTGACCATCATTCCTACTGTGTATTAGCTTGTTGAACTTCCCATTCCAAAATCATGGGCATTAATATTCCAACCCTTTGGAGCTATAACAGCCACCACTCTTCTCTAAAGGCTGTCCACAAGATTTTGGAATGGGTCTTTGGGAATTTGTCCCCTTTTGTGAGGTCAGTTACTGATGTTGGATGAGAAGACCTGGCTCACAATTGGTGTTACAATTCATCCCAAAGGTGTTCAGTAGGGATGAGGTCAGGGCTCTGTGTAGGCCACTTAAGTTCCTCCACACCAAACTCATCAAACCATGTCTTTATGGAGCTGAAAAGAGCCTTCCCTAATCATGTCAGCACAAGGTTGGAAGAGCGCAATTGTATAAAATATCTTTGTATGCTGTATTATTAACAGTACCCGTGACTGAAAACACCAGAACTCAATCATTTGGAGGGTAGGTGTTCGTTATGTGTTGAGATGAAGGAGTGAGAAGAACATTACACCTGTGAATACAGCATTGCCAAAAACAGAAAAAAAACTTGTATATCATAGACAAGCATACGCAGAGACTAGCATTGCACCACAGCGCCACCTACAGCTCAAAAGGCATATTGATACATTAGTATATGCTGTATTTCCAACAGGTGTGACGGTCAGGTGTCCTCACACTTTTGGCCATATAGAGTATGTAATTTCCTGCTGGGCACCAAAGGAAATAATAATAGAAAATAAAGGTGGCCACCATTAGGCTCTGGCAGCAACTCTCCCTGGGCCTTAAAGCAACAGTCCTTCATAAGGTAACCTCTGACAAACTGAAGCAGCAGCAGGTTCCAAGAAGGAAGGGCGATACCTGGAGGAGAGCCACCAAAAAAATAGTAAGACAAAGTCCATACAGAAGAAGTCCCACATGGAGGCTGCAAAGTGACAACCACTTACCCACCAGGCTGTGCAGTGCCAACGATAAATGTCAGGGCAGAGCAGAAACATTGGAGCTGTGAGATTATGACTGAAGGTTCCTGAGTGCTGTGCTGAGGGATAATGGAACCATCACCACCGCCTGCTTCTGGGAACCTTCCCTCTAAGAAGTGACTGTACAGGTGTAACTGAGCGACGAGGAAACCATTCAAAGTAATCATAATCCATCCCTGCTAAGAGAATACCAAATGTATCCAATCCCTCATTCCATTCTCTCTCCTCTGTTCCCCCCTCTCTCTTTTCTTCTTACTCTCCTTTCTTTTTCATCTCAATTTTCTCTCCTCTACTCCAAATTATCTTTCCTTTCTCTTTATCCTTTCCTCTCATTCTTCTCTCCTCTTTTCTTCCTCCTTTCCTTTCTCTGTCCTTCCCCTTTTCTCTCTTCTTCTTTTTCTCACGTTTCCTTTGTCTCTCCCCTTCTTTCTTTATTCTTACCTTCATGTCTCCCTCTTTTGCCCTTCCTTTCTCCTCTTTTCTTTCTCCTTCCCTGTCTTCGTCCTTCGTTTTTACTTTCCTCTTCTTTCTTTCACTTTCCCATTCTTTGTGCTCGCCTTTCTCTATCCTTACCTTGATATCTACCCTCTGTCTTCTTTTCCTTTCTCTGTCCTTCCTCTTTTTTCCTTCCTCTCTCCTCTTTTTTTCTCATTTCTCTGTCCTCCCCTTTGCTCTCTTTTTTTCTCACTTTTCCTTTCTTGTTCTTTAACTTTCTCTTTTCCTACCTTTATTTCACCCTCTCTTGTCTCTTCATCTGTCTGCCTCTTTTCTATTCTTTCTCTTTCCCCTTCTCTCCTCTCTTCTCCTTTTTCTCTTTTCCTTTCTCTCTCTTTCCCCTTTCTCACATTCTTCTCTCCTCTTTTCCTTTTTCTGTCCTTACCTTAATCTCTTTTCTACTTCTGTCTTTTTTCCTTTCTCTCTCCTCTCCTTTCTCTATCATTACCTTTATTGCTGCCCTCCTTTCTGTCTCCTCATCTGTCTAACTCTTTTCCTTTTTCTCCTTCCCTTTCTCTCACCTTCTTCCCTTTCCCTGTCATTTTTCTTTCTTTTCCTTTCTCTCTCCTCTCCTTCTCCTTTCCCCCAGTTTTACTTTTATATCTCTCCTTTCCCTCTCCTCATCTGTCTACCTATTTTCCTTTCTTTCTCTCTCCCCTTCTCTCCTCTTTTCCTTCTTTCCTTTCTCTGTCCTTGCCTTTTCCTCTTCTTTTTCTCGCTTTTACTTTCTCTCTCCTCTCCTTTTTTTAAACCTTACCTTTATATCTATTCTCCTTTCTGTCTAATCTGTCTACCTCTTTTACTTTCTCTCTTCTTCCCCTTTTCTCGCTTTTTTCTCTCCTCTTTTCTTTCTCTGTCCTCACCTTCCTCTCTTTTCCATTCTCTCTCCTCCCCTTTCTCTATCCTTACCTTCGTATCTCTTCTCCTTTCTCTCTCCTCTCTTTTCTCTATTCTTACCTTTATATCTATCCTCCCTTCTGTCTCCTCATCTGTCTACCTCTTTTCCTTTCTCTTTCCCCTTTTCTCACCTTCTTCTCTCCTCTTTACTTTCTCCTCTCCTTTCTCCAGTCTTACTATCTCCTTTCTCTCTCCACTCTTTATATCTCTCCTCCATTCTGTCTCCTCGTCTACCTCTTTTCTTTTCTCTCTCTCCTCTCCTTTGTCTCTTTTTTCATTTCTCTCTCCTCTCCTTTCTCTCTCTTTTCCTTTCCATATCTGCTCTCCTTTCTCTCTCTCTCCTCTCCCTATCCTTTTCTTTATGTCTCTTCTGCTTTCCATCTCTTCATCTGTCCTTTCCTTTCTCTCTCCTCTCCTCTTTTCCTTCTGCTCCTTTCTCTCTCCTCTCTTTTTTCTCTTCTTACCTTTTATATATCTCTCCTCCCTTCTGTCTCCTCATCTCCTAGGTGTGTTCAGTCCGCTAGTCACAACTGTGTTATGTAAAGTTGGCGCCGTGATACGGTTTTGTTTTGAGCGTTTTTTATTTATTTGACGCACTGTACAGCACTTTTG